CTGTACACACAAGAAAGAAAATCCCGTTTTGGAGTCATAATTTTCAGCGAGTTCAAATGAATATTAAAAAAATGATTCGCTTAAGTAGATAGCGATGATCAGGATTTTTCTTGGATTTCAGATCATCAAGGCGATTTTAAACACAAATTTTTCAGTACAAAGTTACAGAGTTGTCCCTATGGGCTACCGCGGCAACACACAACGCCGCACCGGATCAAAAGTTTCCGCCTTATTTTGTAATAAGAGGGACTTAAAGTTCAGGGCCTATACTTTCAAAAAAGTTAAGAGATCGTAAGTTCATCAGCCAATCATTGACGGCGTTTCAAGCAAAATCCACCAATCATAGACAAGAAAATAGAGCGTAAGTACTTACGTTCACTTAACGAGTTTTGAAAGTATGGCCCCAGGTTCGCACTTTCAAAACTGGCTAAGTGAACGTAAGTACTTACCCTCTATTTTCTTGTCTATGATTGGTGGATTTTGCTTGAAAGGCCGTCAATGATTGGCTGATGAACTTACGATCTCTTAACTTTTTTGAAAGTATAGGCCCAGGCGCCTTTAGTCTAATGCGTCTGTCGGTAATGCGTTAGGGAAGAGACAAAAATTATTTACGATGGTCGTAAAGGAGATTATAAGGTTAAGTAGAGCGTTGATATTTGGTTGAGATTTTGAATTATTTCGTATGGTATTAAATACACTTAAGTGATAGAATATTCGTAACAAAAGGGATGATTAAAGTTGATGAATACTAGCAATACTTTACAAACCTCAATAATTACCCATAACCGGGACCAACTCCTATTAAATAATAAATTAAAAATAAATAAATAAAGATCAGACCTAATAAATCATGTTAAATAATTCAATGCAAAGAAAATAATAAATTATTTTTGTGGGCATGAAACTTGTGCTTGATGAAGTTAATTCGTCACACTGACTATTTCGAGGATACAAAAAACTGAATGTATATTTCAGGTTATATATTTCCATCTAATTATTGCCAGGCACCAAATTGAATCTGAAGGCTTCATTCATTTGCCCGGATATAAAAGCCATAAGACGACTCAACATTTATGTCAAAGCAACTGAACATATATGAAGGAATTTCCTGAACTTGATAATTCATTTATCCCTTGACCCGCGCCTGCTTTGCCACGCATCAAATTTGACACTCACCTGTTGGCAATACAATCAAAGACTATGCAGGTTAATAAGATATTATATTCTTCTACTTTCTCATTTACCTGGATAGTCTTTATTCGTATTAACTTGAGCAATCGTCAATAGGTCAAAATAATATAAATGTTACGCATACGTGTATGTGCTGCCCTAGTCATAGTTACCGTTTAACGTGATTATTTTAGTATCCCCATTACTCTGTCTCGGAGATTTCTAGTGATCAGTCATCGTAGTTTGTAGATGAGTGTGCTTTCGTGACACTATTGAATAAATATATAAAAAATATTGCTAATATATCTGAAAAAAATATTGCTAAAAATATTGCTAATATTCCTGAAAAGGAAGATCAATTAAGTACGTCTATGATGATAATGTCTAAATAGTCAAGCAGCGAAGATTCGAATGCACCAATGACTGTTATCAGAGAATGCTACATGCACTAGAGATTCCATTTGACCCATGCGTCCTAATGCTTGATTAAAATCCACCCACCACTTCATCTTCTTACTTGAGTGAGCAAATAAGTTGCTAATGATGAATATGGTGTCTGAAGATGGTGTATGCACCATGGGAAGGCCTCCTTCTCACCGTGCAGCTCTGACATATTTATTCCCCGCTCATGATGAGCAGCAAAAAGGACGAGCTGGAAAACGAAATAAATCCCATAGAAACATACAGAATCCTCATCCAAACTCTATCATTGTTATACTTATTCACGTATAGCCACTCTACCCCAGGACCAGTGAATGCCTAGCGAATTACAATGTCAGCTGTTTTTATCTATCAAATATAAATAACGGCGTTCATAAATTATTCGTATAGGCTAACATGACAATAGGATTGATTGCTCTCTGCTATTATTCATTGAACAGAATAGCCAATTAATAACAGAACAGGGCATTTTACTGATAAACATTACTAGTGTTATTACTAATTAACAGAACCATCGAATTACTGGTGTCATGTAAAATGGACAAGTAAATTTTTAGTTTCGGTTCAAAGTTTTCGTTACATGTGCATAAAAAAAATTTGTAGGGCTAACTTCATTAGGAACGTAGTCCGGATACGCTGATCACGCTCTAATCATCTAATGATTTGGTGAATTTTTGAAATCTTTCATTTGTAAGTCATGACTTAAGACCAATAACTAGTGATAAATATGAATGTTAAAGATGTTAGAGACAATCTGTTGAAATTTGAAGAAGGTGTTGATGAATATTTATCAACAACTCGTGTTGCCAATACCTAATTTAAAATAAATTAAATATATCAAATCATATCATATCATAGTGAGGTCGGCGGCGCTGGTGTGGCCTGTCGCCGATTCTTGTATTTGTTGTGCCTTGTTCACAGGAGTTATATAAACAATGCAGGTCCTTGACCGGATTTTTGCAAAACTGACGATAGTTTGAAATAACTACTTGACTTCCATCGAGTTGGTGTGGTGCTAGGCATTTCAAATCTGAACATATATTTTTCCATAGCTTTATCTAGTCTGTTCTTGAACGCGTTCATACTAGGAGCGTCAAAGATGTAATCGGGGAGGCTGTTCCACATGGTGATTCGAAGCGAGAAGAAATGTTGTCGCGTGGGTGAGTTGCAACGCAGTTTTTTATAGGCGTGGCTCTGGTGTTGGTTCTTGTTTCAAAATCTGTTAATCCTTCGGGGATCCTGTATAAACCATGAGTATACATGTATACTTCAATGAGGTTACCACCAAAACATCAACGATAGAGACCTGGAACCTTCGCAACTACGAGAAGCCGAGAAATAATGCACAAAGTTTCATTCTAAATTTTCTCTTTAATGCGAATATTTTTCCAAGTGTGGAGTGACTAGTTGAATTTCCGTCTGCAGTTACTGAAAACATATTAATGAATCCCGGTGAATAGATATTTTTGGTGGGTAACATATCAAGTCATATCAAGCCAATCTTCGAGATGGCAGACGACCTGTTAGTTCATTCCTAATCGGCAATCCACACATTGAGCTTAATTTACTATTTAATTTAGGCTTTAATTGACTAATAAAACCGTTTCTAGGATCATATGTTTACGAATGTTTATTGTGTTTTAACGAACGCTTCTAATATTCTTATAACAATTTTCGTACGTCACCACCACCATCATTACCATTCATCGGCACGTTTTTAAGTCCGTTTCTGAACGGTGATAAATTTGAACCTGAAGAGGTTTAATGAAGAAAAAGTATTCCTATTAACGTTAACCTTGATGATGTGAAATCCGGCTTGAGTCATGCTAATCAATATCTACTTAAGAGAATCATTCGTAAAATATCCTTTGGAAGTTGATGAAAATTATAACTACTATACGGTATTTTTTTCCATGCATGTACAAATATTTTATGTCAATTCACCCATATATGGAGTTTAGCAAATCAATTCGGCTGCGTTTAGAAAAAGTATCGGACTACTGTGCCCATTTCTCTAAAATCTATCGCCCACATAATTGAGAAGATTGCCTCCTTTTAATTTCTTTCACTATCCACTTGTTACGAACTAATCGGTCTAGTCCAACCTCATACATTGCAAGTGCATGCGTGCTACGTGATAAATTATTTAGTTACTCCTCGAAAAAAGGCGATGGAGGGGAGTCTCCACGACGTGTTCAGTATATATGATTATATCAACAAATCACTTTCAGCAAGTATGAATAATTTCTTCGATGTAATTCTAAATTATTTTTGAACGCTGACTTAGAGATTGTAACTGATTGCATCTCGAAGCAGCGTACTTGTGAAGATTTTAGTAAACTGCTAATTCAATAGAAATATTCATTCTGCAAAAGAAAAGTGTTACAACATGAATCTTACTTCACTCTCATGCGAAAACTGTCCCAATTTACAAAGTTAAGTAAACCTTATATAAGTTTCCGATTATTTATTTGCATGAAATTAAATTCTCGACTAACTAACTAAACGCTGTTCTTTTGGAACAGAAATAAGTCTCATAAGATTACCTAACAATTTAAAAGTTCATAGTACCAGAGAATTCCCCTGGATATGTTGTAGTATTTAAACAATTTTATGAAAAACAAAATTTTGGATTTGTTCCTGGCGAATTTCTACCTCGAAATTGCACAAGCCTTCTCCAGTGCACCAGCCTCCTCCACTGCACCGGCCTCCTCCACTGCACCAGCCCCCTCCACTGCACCAGCCTCCTCCACTGCACCAGCCTCCTCCACTGCACCAGCCTCTCCCACTGCACCAGCCTCCTCCACTGCACCAGCCTCCTCCACTGCACCAGCCTCCTCCACTGCACCAGCCTCCTCCACTGCACAAGCCTCCTCCACTGCACTAGCCCCCTCCACTGCACCAGCCCCCTCCACTGCACAGTGCACCCACAGGTTGGTGCAGTGCAGCAGGGTCTTTGTTCTGCACATTTTACACAAATTACACAATATTTTATGCAGCAATCTTCACAAACATTAAAATAAAACAGAGATTTTTTAGTGCCCGAGCTTGACAGGGTTTTGTGTTGGAGGCTCAATTTCAGTTTGCAGTAAAACTGAATAGGAAATTTTGATGCTCCATCGACTGGTGTGGAAGAATGATAATATTCTCGCTAAGGTCAATAGTTTTAATCACATGTAGCTCCTCCCATTCAGTTAATAATAGTAATTCAAAATAATTAGCCATCTCTAATATACAGTGAATCTGTTATTTATCCCAAAATTGTATAACGCCACTGCGTTATACAATTAACTAACTGAACTTAGTTGGTGTAGCGTTGGAGTGATATTGTATGAGATGCTAGTGGGGCAGCCTCCATTCCTGGCGAACACTCCCGCCGAAACGCAGTACAAGGTAGGGCTATATTTTTATTTACAGCTGACATTTACGGTAAGGTTGACTTCAACGTATTTGGTTTGGTTTGTAGTTTTATTTTGTCTTTTGTTATACTGTTAAGTGTCATCTAATGAGTTGTGTGATGTTTATTTTTTTACCTTGCTCGTTGCCTGTATTTATTAGCATGGCACATCCACTGCTTAAATTGAGACACTTTCCTGATGCAGGTGCTAAACTGGGAGTCATGTTTGAGGATCCCAAAAGGAGCCAACGTGTCGCCTGAGGCCAAAGACCTCATCTTGCGCCTGCTTACAAGTCCAGAGCAGCGGCTGGGTCGTAATGCTCAGGAAATAAAAAATCGTTCGTTCTTCGCTGAGGTGGACTTTGAGGCTGGGCTGCGCAAGCAGCAAGCCCTTTATATCCCCGAGATAAAATACCCTACAGACACGTCTAACTTTGATCCGATCGAGCCAGACCGTCTTGGTTGCAATAGTATGACGGTGGACAGGCTTGGCATTATAACGTCTTCATCTAGATCATGTTTTTATTATAATGCTGTCCCATTATCCTCCGCTGCTGTGCAATATTAATCTGCATGCAGTGGCTTTTGCGTTGCAAGTCAGCAAATATGCGGTTGTAGAGGACGGAAATGCAACTGTTATAGATGTATTTTACATTGATATTTTTCTAATAAAATGGCTTTAGACTTCAGTGCGATGTTGCCGGATCCGCTCTGTGTTGCGGAATAGTTGTAGCTCTATAGGATCATTCGTTCTGCGCCATTAATTAGTTTGATCTCTCATGCAGAGAGACCTCCGAAGTCGAGACATGACTCACACTCTCATTCACTGTTGTGCCTTGCATTGTCGAAGGAAAGTGTAATGTGCTGTCGTCTTTATTCCCCTATTGACGTTGGGTCGCAAGAAGTACGACGAACCGTGGTTGGGTTATTGCGGATAGGATAGTCTCGCGTTACGCCCAGTTGATACTGGCCCCGTAACACGGTGTCATACGTTATTATATTATTTCATGGAGAGTGCACTCGAAGTGACAGTCAGTGTACAGGCCACAGGGTGGTCAGAGAGGTACTATTCAAACGCGAAAAGGCTAAATTGTGTAGAAGTTTTATATTAACATTGAAGGTTATTTTCTTCGTTCTAAGCATCAATTTTATGCTCATATTAATTCCGCAAAATATCAATTGCATTTATTGCTGTGCGGAACATTTTTTGTTTGGACCATACTGTTCAAACGCAACAGATTCATTTCATCAGCATCAAAGAAGGAAGTTGTGTCAAAATTTAAACGTGCGTGTTTTTTGCATAAAAGTACAAATTATTCTATGAAATCTGCTCTCCACCCCTCTTTCTGATCACTCTGGAGTGCGGTCGCAATTCTCCCTTCTTGTATGTTTGTCGTTGCTTTCGAGTGTTCTCCGAGTTTTCGAAACTTGTTAGGTAAAGATGAATTGTTCGGGAGCGCTGCCGTAGCCCAAAAGATTGACTCATAAATCAGTCCAAGTGCAAATGCCAACCCTCTACATGCAATAGAAATAGTCAGCCTAGCACCTATGCAGCTGTTCTTACTTGCCTCATCTCGCCACACCAGCTTGAAACAAGCAATGCATCAGCCCACAAGCTGATACTCCA